TAGAGCACATTCTTCTATTATATAAAGAACTAGGAAGAAATATGAAATACAGAAGCATTATTGTGAAGTAAATCAGGACAGTTAAAATTGTTCTTTTAAGATAATCTATTTTAAGAATGACACATAAGCCACAGACATGTTCAATGGCTTATTTTATCTTAGTGAACTTGAGAATAAATAAAAGCAGTAACTATTGCCAAACGGTCCAAATCAATGGGTATTTTGAAAAACATCCCTTTACTGAGGGGAAATTCAGTAACTCTCTAAAAGCCTTGCAGTACTTGTATGAAGTGTATGGGAATGATAAAATCAGAAAACATTAACTGTGTTGCTTAATTAAAATCATTCTTAAAGAATACCAAAACCCCCTAATTCATGTAAGATTCCATGAAAAGTGAGGAGTAGTTAAGAAACTAAAAGTCCAGAAAAGAGATAGTTGAACATTTCCATAAATATGCAACTAAACTTTTTTGTTTCCATTAGGAATATTCCTACGATTTCCTTTTCTTTAACATAGTAATCATAATTGCTGATAATTGCCAACTGCATCTATCTTCAGTGTTAAGTAAAAACACCATCAAGAATACACATCTGTGAAAATACAACTCAAGCATTGTGTGTGTGTGTGTGTATAAATATAAATATTATGCTATGTAAACATCATGGAATTTTTAAAACACCAAAAATAAAGAAATCAAGACTCTCCATAGAATTTAGGAGGATGCTTCTTTGGAGGGAAATTATGATTGTCTAAAATTAAAGAGCAATAATGAACGTAGAGGAGGAAAATGAACTCATAACAAAGTGCTCACACTTTAAGAAAATATTTATTAAGTAAAATCCTTGTACTATCTAAAATGTTAATAGAATTTGTATTCTGCTCTATGTTTACTTATAATTTGCCTCTTTTAGAATTAAAGTTCTTTAGGTATGGGACTGGCTTCAACAAATCTTTTGCTATAACACATGGTAAATTGTAGTTTATTTATAAGTATTCAATAAACTTTCAATGCTAATGTAAATTATTGCAATTTCTTGACAGGGCATTATCAATACTTTTATTTACATATTAAGGAGAAAGTTTAATCAGTTGAGTAAGTTAAATATTCTGACAAGATGCTTAGATATTACTTCTTCCTTAAAAAAAATTATTCTTCTTGCATTATGCCATTGAGCAGAACCGACCCATAGTGAACCTTCTAGTGGTTTTTCAAAGCTGTAAATTATGCATGAAGAGACTGCCTAACTTTCTCCCACAGAGCATTTGGTGGATTTGAACTACATGAGTTGGCAGTGCAACTCCCTAGCCAGTAAGCCACCAGTAGACACTTTATTTTACTATCACTACTGGGCAGGGGGAGGAAACTGTTGCATATTTATAAACTTGAAGAGTAAAAGCTTGTTAGAAACTGAAAATGAATACTTTTAAAATATTCATTTACTTATACACGCACAGACCTGTTTTGATTTCTTCACCCTGTTTTTCTACTCCCTGCTCTTCCAAAAGCCCAGTTTCTTCATTAACTTCTGTGTTTGCAACAATGAGAGTAAAGAAAATAAGGGCCTTTTTTGTATACTTGTTATCATTAACTCAAATTAAAAAAAAATCGTCCCAGTTGGTCATAATGATTCAGGGACTAACAGATTAATAATCTCTAAATTAGCCTCTGATGTGTATTATAGGGGGAAAAAAACCCTTATACTGTTACTTTATTGTTTGTTGTTACTATCAATTTTTTAATGACTAGATTTATTAGAGAAATGGAAACTTCTTAAATATTTGAGATATAGAAGAAACTGTAAAAGATCTATAAACTTAGCATGTTCTCAGAAAATCAGTATTAACACTACTTTACTTCTAGAGAAACAAATGGAATTATAAAACTGTGTTTCAGTTTCACAATTCAAAAGTGTATATTTAGGAAAATAAAATAATAATTTCTAGTTTATTATATTATACTTTTGTTATATTGCTTATTTTATTTGTCTCTAAAACAAAGAGAAGATGATTAAATATATACCAGAATTAGGGCTAACATATATAAGATTATGAAATGATTATACAAACTAACATACAATTAATCAGATCAAATAAATCGTAAGGTGAAATGAAGATTTCCTCATTATTAGTAACTGAAAAAAATCTGGAAAATAGACATTTCACCATTTTAATTATAACATAATACCATTAAATTATAACTTGTGACAACATTTTTTTGACAATTAACTTTTAAGAGATGAAAAAGAAAATTTAATTCAGTCAATTAAAATCAGTCTAGAGTTACTATACCTTTAAGGTCATCTAGAAGTAAGAAATTTTATATTTGCATATCCTGAATCTTTAGATCAACCTTTAAAAACACAATGGTAAGGAAAAACCCATCTGTATTTTTAAAGTAAACAAATATTTTTATTTCATACTGTAAAAGAGAAAATATTATTTTGATCCTTTTGTTTCATAGTGGAAACAGAAAAATTACAATTGGGGACACTGAAAGAGTAGTGATTATAATTGATTATAAAAGAAAAAACAAGCAAACAAACACCCACCCAAACCAAGCAATCCCTCAAACACTAAATAGAAGGTTTCTTGAGAAAACCATTAAAACTCTTACCACTCTTACTTTCACTATCAGCTCAGTTTTATTTTCTGGTACATTTACGGGTCTTAAGAATGAAGCTGTTCATATCTCAAGAAAGTTTAGTGACTTAGTGGTAAGAAACTGCATTGCAATCTCAAAGGTACATGGTTCAAACCCACTAGCTGCTTTGCGGGAGAAGGATAGACAATTTCCTCCCATACAATTTACTGTCTCTGAAAACCAGCTGGAGGGTCTGTTATGGGTTAGTTCTCACTTGACAGTATACAACAACAACATTTTTATGTTAACAGACTCAAGCTATAAAAGTTAGTAAAGAAAAGAGATATTATGATATTAACTATCTTTCTAACTTCATAATTCCAACAAATGATGCTCAAGTAATACCTTTAAAATCTAAGGGAACTGAAAGTTCCACACAAACTGCAGGACTATCATTTTTAAAATTATAAATCCTCAAAGTTATGCAAATAATTGAGGATTACAGAAATGTTGCTGTAACCTTTTTAAGGAGCAGTATAATTGACAACAAGTTACAATAGTATCAGATTATTCAAAAGAATGGTACACAGTAAGTAGAAAGAGAGACAAAGAGAAGCTTATATTTTCTCAACAAATGAAAATGAAATGTTTTTCCATAAGTTATAAGGCAATACAATGATTGTTGCTCAAATGCTATTAATTTATAACAAACTTGTTATGAATGAAATCATTATTTTTGATGGAACTTTATAAGCTACTTGATATATCTTTGTCAATTTTTAAATTATTTCATGCATTCATTCAACACGTATTTGTTTAGAGCCTACTATATGTGGGCGTTATACTATGTGCTAGAGATTAATCAGTGACAAAAGCAGTTATCTTGAGGACAGGAAAAGACCTTTCAGATTTCTGTAAGCAGCAAGGAATCATTTTGCCCTACAAAATGTATTACACTCCAAATCTCGCAATTCAGTGTTTTATTCTGAAGTATAATATAGTATTTGATAATAAAACTGTAAAACACTTAACTTTAATACACTATAAGCAGTACTTCTACAACGTAAAAAAAGATATAAAAATACAAACCACAGTCACTATCTAATTAAGCAACTTTTTTCTAGAAAGTCAAATAGAATTTAAGATCATCATAAATACAAAATGAAATATAAGATGATACGTATACTAGACTATGTGTACAACCTCAATGACAAAAATAGACTGCAATTGACATCATCTGTAAAGTCTTAATAAAATGTAGACGACTCTTTGAAAGGCAAATTAATTTTCTTAAAAGAGCATATGTCATTTTTACATAAACCCTATACATTTACATTTGATTGAATCAAACAAATTGAATTCCTTGGTGTAACTTCCGAAAAATATTGCAAAGTTGAATGCTTTCCCAAAAATAAGAAAGTGAAATAATTTTACTGTGTATTTAAAAAGTCTATATAATAAAGGGACATCAATTGCAGTTGGGTTTATTTTTGCTTACATAGCCCCCCAAAAAAGGCTGTCAGCACAAAACAAACCCTCCTTTAGTTACAGACCTTCATAAGATTCTATCTCCTTGACTCCATTGTCTAGAAAAACAAAATAAAAACAAAACAAAAAAGGGAACCAAAGCACAGGGGTTAAAAACAACAGAAATTTCCAAAGGCACAGAGTGTTTGTCTATTAAAAAAAAGTTAAATGATAACTTAAACATATATTTCCTTTCCTTTCTTTTTTTTAATTACAAAACATATCCAGTTAGTAAGTAAAGGGATTATATTTAAAAAAAATTCTGAAATATTACTATATTCAATTTCAGTCCATGCTTTTTAGAGGCCCTTTACCCAAAGTTTATAAATTTTGAGGGAGTATGTTCACATGTGAGTATGCAAAAAGTGCGACTTATGCCAAAATTTGAAAGTATATTAAAAATATCAGTACAACATGCAGCTTTTTTGGTGGTATATTCATGATTACCTTTTCCTGGTACTCCAGTTTGAGAAGGATCACCATTGTTGTGCATCCGCTAACCAGAGTCCTTTGCAGTGTGTGAAAATTGATTTGGCTAGTTACTAATAAACTTTACGTAACTATCAACAATTACATAAACTTAGCTGTAGCAACAAAACATCCAACTGCTCATTTAAATGCATAGTTTAAATTTATTAAATTAATTTACACAAACATGGAAAATGCTAAACAGCAACCAAAAAAACAATAGTTCTATTTTTCTCTAAATATCATAGATTTTTAACTGCATAATATATGACATTTAAATTATCAATACAAACTGAAGTAAAATATTTAGTCAACAAAAGAAGAAAACACAAAGGTAGTAAAGAAAAAAAAAATCACAAAATCTTGATTCACCTTAGCCTCCGTGTACATTTCCTATATGCCAGAATTCAAAATACAACTTACTTCTCTCCAACGTTCCCTTTGGTGGAAGCTGTGGAAGCTGCCGGCCCCTTCGTCCTGCTAGTGGAGTACTAGATGGGCTTGTCTGGACAGACCCAGTATGAGGATGAGACCTACAAGATACACCATTAATATTCAATTTCAATAGAATGTGGCAAGTATGTGTAATATATTTGGTTCACATGATAGTTGTGTATGTGCAATTTTAAAAGTGGTTTAGCTGCTGATTAAAAGGTTAAGAAAGTAGGACAAAATAAGGATAGTTGAATGATTGGCTAAGTAACAGAAGACATTTATATATTTGTGCAATAGGCATACATCCACACATACATGCACACAAAATCTTACAGTAAAATCTATGGAATTATCAATGTCAATTAATATCCAATCCATATGAAAGTAAGAGAATTTTGCAGCTCAGGAAATAAAGGGTAACATTTTGCATCTTTTTCTACTAGATAGCAGCTTCTACCTTTCCTCCTTTGATCCAAAGAGATCTTTAGTTAGGCTCACATTAAATATCCTTTGACTGGGAAAATCGCTAATGTAACTAGAAAGAAAACTCAATTTTTCCAAATTCAGCTAACGTTAGGAGTTAAGACATAATAATAGCATTGCTAGGAAGAAACTGAAAATCTAGTTTCAGGTATTATCAGTATGATGGATATTCCAAAAGTGATGTGTAATGGACACACACAATTTCTCATTCTATAGAAGACCATGACAGTTATGAGGCATATTATGCGGGGATTTACCCAGGACTCCTGAGAAATGAGAAATCACAAAACAAATGCAAGTCAGAACGGTTCAGAAACAAAATACGATGACAGCCACACACTATTATATCCACGGAATATAAATAGTGTGCTTACATTGAGAGGGTTAGTACTGATTGATATTAGTGATCAGCCAAGGATGATAGAAGAGACCAGTAGCTGCTGGGAAAATAAAATGGTGTGCTGGTGGGGCAAAGGGGAAGTTAGTCTGATTGATTATCTTTCACCTCGATAAGGCAGGTGAAGGAGGGGCAGATCTTCCCGTCATTAATGAAGGCATCGACCTCATGAGGTTTGAGTCGGGACGCTCAGTGGATCTGGAGCGGGTGGTGGTCCGCTCAAGGAGAGGCCGCTGTTCTGTTGATCTGGATCTGTGATATGGCTGTCTATCTGCTGCTTCACAATCCCTGAAACGTTAGTCAAAAAGCAGCTCAGTTGATCTTAGTGCCCTTCTGTGCTTTGGTTATGATGCATCAAATTGATTTTGAAAAAGGTTAACGGTTCAAAATTATAGTGTATGAAAAGCAACACATTCTTTGCAAATTCTCTCTGAACTTCTTAAGAATATTTAAGGAACCCCAATCTGCCTTTAGTAGCAATTCCCAAGGAAGAGAATAGGAATTGTTCAGTACTGTCAATGACAGAACAAAGCTACCTGTTTCCTAAAAGAAATTCTCTAATTGTAACAAGTGAAACAGGTGAAGCATCAGTTTAAAGAGTCATTTCCATTTTCTGGAAGTGCTTGTTAAGGCCCTAAGGCTTGGTGTACCACCTGTATACAAAAACCTCTTCAGTATAATTATTGCAAGATAAGTAACACCCCAAAATTAAAACAGAAACATAAAACTTAGGTCAAAACAGTGCATCTCTGAAGATTGAAATATTATTAAACCAGATCCACAATAAAAATCACTGTGCAGAACATTGGTTATCAGTCGACACACAGCATCTCTATTATTATCTAGCTGCATTAAACATTAGAATGAATAATGGGTCTTAATTGATTGAAACAATAAGGGTCCTTAAACAACTTAATCTCTATAACCACACAGCAATCCAATACCCAAACTTGATCATTACTGAAAGAAAGAAATAATTCTAGGTAGCCTAACATTGACTTTTTAAACCCCCGAAGTGTAGAATAATGCTCAACACATAGCTTATGATCAATAAAACGCTTTTCTAATAATCCCACCTCCTGTTGGAGAGCTATTAAAACACTGACTTTGATGCTAACTCTCAAAAGTAATGCATACTCTAAAGTATATTTCAAATCAAACTAGAATACTCCATCTTGTTCCCATAAAGAGGAAAGCCTAGGAAACACTGTGGGGTAATTTTACTCTGTCCTATAGGATTCAAATGAGTCGAAATGACCCAACATTATAGAACAACACAGAAAGGGAAAAGATTGAATATTCTATACAGCAAAGTCCTCATTAGTCTCTTTGAAGGCTAATGCATCAAAGGTATCTACTTTACATAAAATTCTCTCCATTCTATTTTTGGGACTGACATATATAAACATTTAAGAAAATGAGAATAAAAAATTATGATTTCCTGAACAAGTAGAGGTCAATGACCTAAAAGAATGAACAATGAATTTATTCTGCATTGTATCTTGTGTTGACTTTATTTTTTAATTTGTTGTATAATAACCAAATTACTCTTAAGTTTTAAGTCTGTATAATAGAAAAATCATTGACTTAAGATTCTAGTACTTTCGGTATGAGAACAGTAGAATAGGTCTAAAACAGATGAAATGTAAATATATATAAAATTAACAGGGAAAAAATAACAAAGGCAAATTTGTATATAAAAATTAATGATTCCATTACTGTTTCTGAAAAGTTATTTTAGGAAAATATTTTCCTTTGGTAAGAAATATGCTTAAGAGTTAATTACACAGTTTTTGTGTACATGTTTTGGTATATCTTCATGACAACAGCCCAAAATAAAACAATATATAAACATACTTGAGTTCCTTAAAATCTATTTTTTAAGAATACTGTTATTTTAAGATATCTTACTATCAGTAAGTAATAATAAGCATCTCATTACATAATATATAACAATAATAACTAAGGAAGTATTATTATCCACACATGGCATTAGGCTAACATTTAACTGATTTGCACAAAATTTTATTTATTCTGAATAATTAACCCAAGTGAAAAATGAGATTCTAGAATATACTGTTTGATTTCATCATTAATTGATTTCTTAATTAAGTAAATTAATTATTTAATAAATGAAATATGGGGTTTTGGTTGGAATCAAGATGATAATTTGATATAATATTGCTTATCATTTATAAAACAAAAATGTTATTTTTTGGAAAATATCAGACAAAATAATTCCTTAATTGAAAAAAATATATGACGTCTATATTTTAAAATCTATTTATATTATTTATTTCACAAAAATAAGACATAAACAGAAAATTGGCATTGTATAATAGGAGATGAAAATAGATTAATAACTGAAACCAAAAAAATTATAGTGGAAAATAGAAATTTTTTTCAGAACGTCATATCACAGTAAAGAGACATGAAAAATTTATATTGTATTTTATAATTTATAATTACTATCATATTAATCATCATCTACTTCTCCATAATTGGGTCTCTGTCTGCAAATCTTAAATAATTGCTAAAAATCTGAAAATAGCAATGCCTAAATTTATCGAGTCTCATAGCAAGTTCTCTAAGAACTGCCCTAGAGACTAACCTCTACTTACCTCATCACAGTTTCTACAGACTTCTAATTCCTATTTTAACCACTAGAAAGAGATGCGGTGATGGGAAAAGTTAAGTGCTCAAAAGAGAACAAATGAGTAGTTCAAACCAACTCAATGCTCCACGGACTAAAGACATGGTAATCTAGTTCTATAAAAATGACCAGCCGAGAAAACACTACAGGAACACTTTTATTATGTCACGTGGATTGAGTAAGAGTTAACTCAATGTCATTTAACAAATCAATTTGTAATTTATACAACATAATAGAAAGTAACATGCCATTTCAGAGAGACACAACATCAATAGTGTAGACTAACTCTCCAGGCATGGTAAAATAAAACCAACATCCCACAAAATTAACTCATTTAATGAAATGCTTCAAAGTAGTATTTGGAATCAATGAACTATTCTCCAATGAAATACATAGCCAATTGACAATATTAAATTCAGCTTATTAGATGGTTGCATTGTAAAGACTCCAGGCATAATTTTTTAAAGTCTTAGTGAAAAATAAACTTTTAAAAAAATAGCTATTAATTATGATAGTGTTTCTGTGTGGAATATTTAAGTGGAGTTATATGAAAAGCTTCTGTTTATCTCCGAATGAGGCCATTCAAAAAGAACAATATGTAGAGTAAGTTAGTAACGATCTAAAACGTGAAAATTGTTATAATACATATATTAATATGAAAAAGTAAGACACCATTAATGTCAAGAGATATTACTGTTACCCACAAATTTATTGTCAAAATGAGAATGTATTCTCTTATCCAGAGAAACATTTTAAAAATGCTACTTAATGGAAATAACAAGGATAAACTATTCAATATCCTAATTTCCTCAAGAAAATTACAGACCAACAAAATTAGAGAACAAATAATATAGATTAAGTATGTACACATACAAACATAGAAGATGATCTATCAAGGATATGTTCTGCATTTTACTGGCTAATTGACTATAGTTTTATTGAGGACTGGACAAGTTCACAGATAATTAAAGCAAAGCCACAAACAAGACTATATATCCAACAATTAACATGCAGTAAGTTAATACATCTTTAAATTATAAATCATAAATAGCCCAATAGATGATATAATTAACATTTTCTATCTATGAAATTCTTGTTTCCATTTTCAGTGACTGCTTTAAAGTTTAATTTTGCCAGTTTTAATAAGTTCAAGTTACTTCATGATGATATTTCCCTATATTATCCTTTCTGAGAAGTTAAAAAAATTTCTTTAAATAATATATATTTCAAAGATGTATTTCTTAATTAATAAATCATGTATCATTATTATATTACATGAGCATATGTGATGGGCCATGATCTTCACTCTAGTACGCCCGAATTCTGTGTTTCACCAGAAAGTTTTACTTTAAATAATTTAGATAGAATTTTAATTTATAGTTTCACTTTAAGTAATTCACCACACTTTCTTTTATTTGGCTAATTGTATGAAAATAGTGGCATAAAGTGTGAATTCCTCATATGCAAGGCTTCCTGCTGGCACTTCACAATGTTAGCTCAAATTACATAGCCAGAAGTAGCGGCAAGAGAGCTAAGGGAAGAGGATATGAAGAGAGCATCACTGGAGTGATTTGGAACTAGTTATGTACTTACGGTAACCATGCTGTTGTTGCTATGTACTGCTGAGTTGTAAACAATGCATACCTGACCCTCCAGTGAGGCCCTAACTTCCACAGAAAGAAGCTGCCCATCTTTCTTGGTAGAGTAGGCTGCCGATCGAAACTGCTTAGGTTTCAGTTGGCAAGGTAAATCCTTACTAAGTCACCAGCTCTCCCTTAGCAAAAATAAATTCTCAATCCAGTTCAATCACTTGTTGGATTGATTTATTCATGTACCCAAAACACACTCCTCCACAAAGCCTAAAGAAAAGAGGAGTGAACATTTCAGGCTATTCCAGTACTATTTGGTCCAGACTCTACTACCCTATGTATGCTGTCTGATACTCAATGAAAATTTAGAAGAAATGGGGGGAGGGGGGTTATTCTAAGAAAGTGGGAGGAGGAAGTGTGGAGTGGGAAGACTGAATTTTCAAGAAACATAACAATCAATAAAACTAGACTCAAAGATGATACAGATATTGTATCAGAGAATTTGTAATAAATCTGAAAGTTACGTTAAAGACTCCACTGAAAGAGATGGAAAACATCAATGAATAGAAGAATAACAGCAGATAGATGAAGATTATAAAAAGAACCAAATATAAATGTTAGAAATAAAGAGAAAATATAAAAAAATTTTAGTAGAAAAGAAAGATAGCTTTAAAAAAATGAAAGATAAGTTAGAGTAAATTTGTTGTCGTGTACCAAGGATTCTGAAGCAACTCATAACTGACCCTCCAGCAGGTTTTCAGAGGCAGTCAACCACATGGGGGGAGACTGTCCATCTCTGTACCACAGAGCAGCTGGAGTGGTTGGTGACAGTGCAACTCCTAACACTAAGCCACCAGAGTTTGTTTAGGGATTTTAAATGCCAAATTACGGGGTTTAAACACAGGTTCAGGGAGCTCTGGTGGCTTAGTCTGTAGGGAGTTGCAGTGTTATTTCAGAGTCTGTGCTCCTCTAATTGTTAGAACCAACTAGAGAATCATTTCCTAGGGAGAATGATGGGCAGTCTCCTTCCGATTGAGTGTGACTCA